GTTCCCATTTTCCACCCTATAGGCCAGATTATCCAGATTATGAGTATTCTCTCAGATGTCTTTGTTATTGCCTGTAGTGGATTTGAATAACCAGAATATTGGTTTGTTCCAGAATAGAAACTAGACATAAACACACACATTCGAATATGCACTACAGGCACTCATTCACAGACGCACACAAACATACACATTACACATTGCATCCCGGTCCATAACCTCGTGACCTCTAGTATTAACTTTCCTGCACAATATGACCGAGACCAACTGCCACAATAAATACAAACACACACACACGCCACACTGAGTCTTACTGAGGCGTTTGGTTGGTCGATAACTGTTCCTGATCTTACCAGTTAAAGTATTGGTGAAAACTCAGCTGCAGAGAAACAAATCGTTGGCTTGTCTTTGTTCATCAACAGAATGCTGTTGTTGTTGTTGTTTACATGCTGGTTTAGGGCTGTTTTGTTGTAACTGGGACAAATAATAGAGGATACACGTGAAAGAACAGATTTTGACCCCTGGAACAGATTTTTTTAATATAAATGACATTTTAAGATACTAAATAAGGTAAACATGCAGAGATTGTATGTTGTGTGTATGTGTTGTTTCAGTCGTGGCATGCTGGCATTTTTATTGTGGTTATTAATTTCTCATCAGTTTCTCTTGGCTCAAATCATAATCCAGAGCTGGTTAGGCTGGTATCTTTTTGAGGATGTTACGTGAAGGTGTTCAATGTGGCTGCAGACATTCTGTTAAAAGTAATCATCTCTTCATTATTTTTCTTTGCACTTTATCCTTTCATTGCATCAGACCTCGGATGATATTTTATTCTTGTCTCGGTCTTGACTTTATGCTGATCTGTTCTAGAGCGCATGTCAGTGCACTTTGAATTCAGCCAGACTTGGGAAAAGAACCAGTATTTCATTTGCCTTTTTCTTATAGGCTGGAGATCATAACCTTATTGCAACTTTAGATTTGAAAGAAAACTGAATTCTTGTTTTGGCTGAATTGATGGTGAAATGTCCTGATTTTCCACAGACACCATAATTTATGTGCATATTTTAAGAAATAATACAAATTAAAATTTCATCAACTGTCACTGCAGAGGATTATATTGTCTAATATTTTAATAAAAGTGAAAGCAGTGTAAACACTAAAATCGCAGACCCTGGACCCCAAAATTAGAATGCATGATCGTGAGCTACTGATGTTCACCTGCTAAAATGGCTAATAGAGCTGATAAACTTTTCAGGCACAGCCTGACTTTTACTTGATCTAAGGGTGAAGCCAAAGAGCGAGGAAGTTATTAGATCAGTCTTATCAGACTAAAGACATATCAGTGATTAATCTGACTCTAAATGTTATGATAAAATGGGGCCTGAAAGGAAAGGTAAAGCTAAAAACCTGCTTCTCACCTACTAGAACGATTTTTTTAAATGCTACCTGAGAATTAGATGTTATTGCAGGTATTTATAATGAAACGATGCTCTTCAGCTTCAGGTGCTTCTGGGAAAGCCAAACGCTACTCTCTTTTGTTTCCTGTTGGCTTTCCAGTTTCAGCCTGTCCTTTCCTCACATTTCTGCCTTTTCTTCTTTCCTCCTCTTCCCCCCCCCCTTCCTCCTCCTCAGTAAAACCATCAAGGTGAAAATAATCGACGATGAGGAGTATGAGAAGAACAAAACCTTCTACATAGAGATCGAAGAGCCTCGACTGGTGGAGAACAATGACACCAAAGGTCAGGAAGAGGGTGAGCCTTGTGACCGTTGACCCCTTGACCCCAGGGTGTCTGCCACATCACACTGGCTGCATGTTCTCCACACATGGAGACACACAGGAGGAGATTTCTTTCTTGTTGCTTTACCTCCTGATTCCTGATGTGTCTTTACGATGACGGTGAACATGCAGCAGGTTGTGGATCACCTCATCTCATCACATCCACCAGTCCACTTTGCGTGTGCATGTGTTTTCTTTTCCTTTTTCTTTTCTTTTTGCACATACATGTGTACATACCTTGCCATATTGTTTGTTTACCATGCATGCATTCACCACCTCCCTCTACTTGTGTATGTGTGTACGTGTGTGTCCCATACAGGAAGACCATAACTATTAGGCTCTTAGACCGGGAGGAGTACAATAAGGAGACCTCCTTCTACATTGTGCTCGAAACCCCCCAGTGGAGGCGCAACACGAAGGAACGGGCAGGTGTGACAGCCAGTCGGCGCTGAGAATGCACTGTGTGATGTTTTAATGGATCGTGAATCAACAGGCCAATCCCAGAATCAGTCACTCATACGGTGCAACAATAACTCACACTATAGTCCACTCGTGAAAGAGTTTGCATTCACAAATGCAGCTGTGTAGTGTTGTTATTTTTCAAATTCTTTGGACTAAACAGAAGAATAGCAGATCAGTTTGTACAGCCACACAGACAGAAAAGCAGCAAATCCTCACATCTGAGAAGCTGAAACGAGACATTTTTAAGAACTGACTGAGATAATGTTGATTAACAAAACTGCTGCCAGTTTGTCAACTAATCATCTAATCAATTAATCAACCAGTTCTTGTAACTTTACCTGCTGCAAACACGGTACGCTTAAGATTACAGCACTATACAGATTGTAGCAATGGGACATAGTTTAGAGCACCAGTTACAATGAGTTAAATCAGGAAAAACAACAGGTTTGACTGACAGGAGAGCTCTGGCAATAACAACCAAAGCTGAACAAATCTCCGTCAATGCAAAGAAAGAAAAGTGATGATTAGGATGTTACTGGTTAGAGGGCATCACATAGTGGGTGTGATACTGTATTCTTCTTAGTGGACTTGCAGTTGGAGTCATATTTATGTTATGCAATACAATAACCCAGACAACTGCACTTTACAGCTGGTAGCGCTGCAAGAAATAGATCAAAGCATCAGTTGCACTTATACTATATTTTGAAAGTGACAAAACACAGAGCTGCTTCCGAATTGCTCATGTTTTAACAGGCCTGTTGATTTGGGATTCAGGTTGAGCACACACTGGAGTGATTCTGCTGCTGCCTTCTGTACTTCTGTTTTTCCTTTCTGTTTTTTTTTTTATTATTTCATCCACTGCTCCTCTTCAGACATCTGTACAGAAAACTCAGTGGTGTTCACGGCAGTCCCTCTTCTTTCTTCTCCTTCCCTCTTCCTCAGCCCTGTTGATTCGTTTCCCCCTCAACCAGACAAGAGCTTCTCATGCTTTAAGATCTGTTCTCTGTTGGTGTTTGAACATGCCACCACTCCCCTCTAGGTATTCTGGATTGTTGGCACAAATAGAGATATGCAAATAATACCCACGAGGGTGTGCACACTGGGTTTGACTGTGATGTGAGTAGCACTCACAGGCAGCTGACTTCATTCAGAAGCCACTAAGTTTTAACTTGATGTTTTCTCATGGCACAGTGGGGACAGTGTTGGTGCAGAGCTTTAAGCAAATAGCAAAACATTGTCATGACAAGGAATAGTTTTATTAGCAGTGGTGTTTTATACAGTGCTATCAGCACTAGGATACTGTTTAAAGTAACACATCTACAGATTCAGAAAACACATCACAGAAAGGTTGCACAGTAGAAATAATCCAGATAGGATCCAAACAACTGAAGCCATTCATCTCATTTGATCTGAAAAATGCATTATCACAAAGCTGGCTACAGGTTTATAGGTTTTGCAGTGTGTGTGTTTTTCTGTGTACATGTGTGTGTCCTCAGTCACATGCTGCATTTGTGCATCAGTTTTCCACTGTGTTTATCAATTATCTTACCCCAGCTACTCACCTCCCTTCGTTTCCATTACAATTTAATGTAATATAGATTTGTAAAAGTGCAGGGGCTAATCTAATTATTATTCACTGCCTTTTCACCACACACAGACGCACACAAACAAATGCACATTCAACAATATCTTTGAAGCAAGTAGCAGTTGATGTTAAAATTAGGACATTATGTTTTAAATGAAATGACCACAATCCAAATGCACACTGAACAACACTGTCACTGTGCATTTACCAGGCAGCAGCAGTGTCTATGGTGATGAGGAGTCAAAGACGAGGGCTGCATATCACATTATCATAGTCAGAAGATTAAAAATAAAAACACCTTGGGAACGCACATAAACATACACACACAGAGCTTAAGGGCTGTTTAATGAGCCTGTGCGGTGGTTCTCTCTGTGCTGCATTCACCGTGCACAGATCTTTACAGCCGCGGCCCATCACCGAATGTGTCCATGTAAAGTGTATTTATGCATATGTGCGTGCTTGTGTCTACGCATTGTGTCCTCTATGTTCACACGTGTGTTCAAAGGCTTGTATTTGGGCAAAATAAGTTGTCAGCTCCTGGGAGTTTGTCCATGTTAATGTGCTTTTGTGGACAAAACTGATTAAAATGTAGAATAATTTTCAAGCTAAACACCACACAATTCATAATTTTGGTAACTACATTACCATTTCACTTGATCTCATTCTGTGTAAACACTGATGTTTGTATGTATCAGCACGTTTCTTGTATCCTCAAACTTAGTAGTAATCCCTCCTGTGTTAAGTTTTGCACTGCATTAAAAGGAGAGGTATATTATCTGTATTTCATATTTCCTTTTTATAGCAGAGACAGGTGAAAATATCCTGACATGTTGACAGTCTGTGTTCTCGCCCAGATTTGGTTTTTAATGTATTTCCATCACTAGCACCAGTAAATTAACTCAATTCACACCGAGAGCACTGGGGAGAGACTCTGAAATGGAATTGATTCTCAGTGTGTTTTGGCACAATTGGACATATTTCAAATAGGCTTTTATGTATGCTGCCCCAGAGAGCCACTAAAAACCGACCGAAAGAGGCACGTTCTCTCTCTCTCTAACGTTGATTTGTGTGAATTGTGACTTGAGAACACAGAAGAGAAGAGGGAGAAAACAGTCGGCTTTTCTGATTAATCCTGTCTAGTTCTCGTTTCTTCTTCTATCAAAGCTGTACTTCAAATATTAGTGAAGTGTCTCAGAGCTACAGATGAACGCCTAATATTTGTTATTTATGCCCGTGTGCTGGCGACAGCCACAACTGGAGGCGTAGTGTTTTTGGGTTGTTCATCTGTCCATCAGCCCATTCAATATACAGTATCAGGAACACCTTAAAGGAATTTTTTAAAATTTGGCACAAACGTCTACTTGGGCTCAGAGATTAACTGATTAGATTTTGGTAGCCAAAGGTCAGTGACCTTTCAGCTATGGGTGTTCTAAGCAATGATTTTTTTAAGCTCCACCATCATTATTATCTCTGGAAATAAAGTAGTTATGGCAAGGACAGAAAACATTTGTATTCTTTTATAAATTCGGTCAATCTTTCATTCCAACTCTAAATAATTCATGGTAACATCTCACTGTAAGGCTGCTACATGTTTTCATGTGTTCGGCAGAAAAAAGAAAAGGGTTGTGACTTATTTTTCTTGATCCTGTTTCATTCTCTTCTATTTCTGGTGATGTTTTCCTACATGTCCCATAATGCCGTTCAACAACCTCTGGAGAGCCGACGTGAGCTTGTACACAGCTTTGGTTTCAAGATTCAAGATTTTTATGCGTAAACAGACAGTCTAGGCATATAGGAATTCTTGTGCAGAGCTCTCCTGGAGTCAAGTAAAGAGTTTAAAGCCAAAAGAACGAACACCTAGTCTAAATATAAGATCACCCAAGAATACGAAATAGTTGATAAAATTGTGGATACAGGAATAAGGTAGCAGGTAAAATGAGGAGTTTCAAATGTGATGTTGCACCTAGTGGAATTGTATATGGTATTTTACTTAGCAGGGTAATGAGGGCTTACTGCACAGGTTTTTCACATTTCGTATTTGTCATCAGTCTTGCTGCTGCAGGGGAAAAAGCTGTTGTGAATTCTTGTTCTGTGTGTGATAGTGTCCGCTCTGTTGTGCCTGAGGTTGTTGGGTGCAGTTTGTTTGTACAGGTGAAAGTAGATATTTCATGTTTGCAGGTGGAGATAGATTTGTTTTCTGGAAGGGAAAGCAGGATTCACTGGAAGATTTAGATGCTTTCAGATGACTTTCTTGTATTGCAGGGTTTTGATTTGGTCCAAAGTAGCCTCAGGACAGAGGCACAGGAGAGTTCACTGCAGCCTGTGAACCTCTTAGAGTCACTGGGTGGGAGAAAGGGCAGCGTGAGGAAGGAACAGTGCTGAGAGCGAAACCGGCTGAAAACACACACCCCCTGCAGAGGGAGATGACCCCGTGTCCCATTACAAACACAGATACAGTGTCACATATGCACGGACACATGCAATATACTGTACACTCACCAATTAACATAGTAGACATTACAGCATGTGACCACATAGATGCATTTGCATGCCTGTGTATGTGACAGACGTTGTTTGACAGCACTGCCCTCTCTGTGTGTGTGTGTGTATGTGTGTGTGTGTGTGTTTTCCCCGAGGTCTCTCTATATCTACTCTGCTCATTAGGGTGTACAATGCACCTCCATAATGTACAATCCAATTGAATTCTGTGATTGTATACATTGTACAATAATAAACAAAATCAGTAACAAGTTTTAATGATTAGAATACTGTTACCTCTGCCATTAAGTAAATCACCAAGCAATACTTGGCCAATAAAGGGGATTATCCTTATCCTTATCCAATGTACATGGAAATGAGTTTTTGTATCTTTATTACACTTATGTGCAGATAGAAGTGAGAAACTTTCACATTAACAATGATTAACA